CCTTAATGAAAAATCATCAGAATGATATGATTCATCAGTCAATTTGATGTTTATTCAATAGGTTTTGAAAATTAATACAAAATATTTAGAATTTATCAAAGAGTAATAATGACAATATCGGGATAAAAGTTTCTATAGGGAGTCCATTTCTAGAATTTCAAGATAGAAAAGCATGAGAGCTACGAAATCCGTAAAATCTATTTATGAATAATGGAAATGGGAGACATAAATAATTATTTAATGCCGTGGATTAAACTTAAATTCTTTTATTCTTTAAATGGCACGAGGAAGAAAAACGCCTGTACTCTATGGATCTCTCCAGGAGACTAAAAACTAATCACAAAGACCTATTACAAAATTCGTCACCTAATGAAAGAACTCTCTGTTCTTTCTTCCTCAGAAATTTTGGTTTATGTTTATGTAGCCTCTCAAGTGACTTTCAGTCAACCTCCGTATCGACTCATTTTTGTAACGGTCAATTGGAAATAAAATAGACTCAATAATCCAACAATGAAAATATGATTGTCTCCCTTGAATTTCGAGAAATTGGATAAAAAGTGGTATGAGAGGAGACTGCATTTATCGATGTTTAGTTGGGGATAGTTTTGGCAAGAGAAATCCGTTGACTAAAATCTCAGACTCGAAATACTCGTGGATTCGGTGAAATCCCCTGGATAGTCAGCTGTCCGTGACGTCACAGGCTGTCTGACGAATCTGGAGTAGAAAAGGTGGGGGCTGTAGGAGGGACATATCACGTGGCCAAGTGTTAGCGTCACGTGGCGACAAAGTGGTAGCAAAAGGTGGGGTATAAAGCCATTTGGAGTCATCCGCACCGAGTTATTTCTCGCTGGAAAATCGTAAATTCCCTCCCACAAAGACATCCGCATCCCCGCGGATGGCATTCCACAGCCATGACGAGACATCTCCATGAATGATCCGTAATACCTACGTCATCGGTGATTTCGCGTTTGACGACAGACTCGATAGAGCCGATTCGATCGGTGAAATCGAAGGGGTATCCAGGGGAAATCATTGGAATGATTGGAAATGAGAGTCAGTACGGGAAAATCTGCATTGGATCATCGGGAGAGGGATAAAAAAAACGTGAAAACTCATGGAAGGGGAAAAGTGTATTGCAAACGCGATGTGTCATCGCGCTGACTACGCACGGCCATGCTTCACCACGTATACGGCATGACTATGATCCGGTCAAGTTAGTTTTGTCACTATCGCGATTCGTGAGAGATCGTTTGCCATGTGTCGAGAATCATCCGCAAGACATCACCAAATATTTTAAATCTTTTTCAAAAAACTATCCGTCAATATCGCGAGAAATCGGGAAATATCAAAAACGAACCGGCACATCCTAAAATTCCAATCATTCCTCTAGGAATCATCGCGATACATAAGAAATAGTCCTGATCAATCTGATGAATTTGAAAAATGCAAGGGGTAAAAGAGGATTTCGTGGCCCTGGAGATGACCAATGGCTGGGGTGAAGACACCATGGACAAGATCCAGTACTGGTATCCAGAAGGTGATTTTCATTGGATATTTATGAATATTCGGGGGGTTAGACGCGTGTTGTCCGCGTGGTAGCGTTTGCGCAAAAGTACTGTTGGAATATCTGCCCACGGAGCTCTCCCTCTTTGTGACTTGCCTCTCGTTAGATGCAGTTGTCATTGAGCTAGGTCAGGGTGCAGCAAAGTCGCGCAGCCAACTACAGGAATCGATGACACTTTTGTGAATTTATTTCAACCGTTAACTATCACTTGCGATTTTGATAAATCCACGGGGATGATACGGGTGGTGAAGATTGACCACTGGATTTATTCGAAATGGTGACTCGGGTGAAATTTCGGAAGGGCTGGAGGTAGGGATGGTACAGATGGAGATGACGGGATGACGGGATGACGATTGGTTGACCAACAACGGCTGGCCAACGCCAGTCGATTTAATTAGCGGTATCGGTTGGAAAGTGGTAACGAGGAAAATTCGTGGAGATATTGGTGAATCCAGTCGCCATGTTCAAGAGCAGAATATTTCAGGGCGATCTCAGCCCAGTGACCATTCAGGGCAGCATCCAGGCCAGTACGTAAATTGGGGGTCAATTATCAATTGTTGTTAGTTGGTGTTTATTCTGGGGATTACAATGGGTAACAGTGGGACATGGAAGATTTGAGGAGAGAGGGGGGGTCGTTGAACCCGGGCCGCAGCTGTTATTGATCGAGGACCAGCAACATGGCTCTCTGTCCTACTATTCCCCTGTCCTACCTCAAACTATTATCTTTGTTCACGTTTCTGGGGCAAGAAACAGCGGAGAGGGTCAATCTCCAGGGACTCGTACACCTTCTTTTCTTTTTTTTAGATGAATACTCATGTCTTCTTGTTTCGGATTTTTTTTTTCAGGCCAACATGGACAACAAAGTGAGCAGGAGCTCGCTACTAAAATGCTACAGATTCAGAGCAAGCGGTTCTACCTCGATGTCAAGCAGAACAGACGCGGAAGGTTCATCAAAGTCGCAGAGGTGAATTTTAGTTGAATTATCACTTTTTTCGTTGACTGTTTTACTTAGAGACAACTTGTTCATTTCAAATGACGGGGATTGATTGCTTTTGGCATTAAATTTTACACATTCAGAACTCAATTAATTAATTGATTGACTATTATTTTGTTGTATACGTAATTAGGAGTTTTATGGAAAATAGAAAGTTATTTTATTTCATAAAAGGAAAATTGGATTCTTCGAAATTATAGGAGAGAACTGGACGAAATATTCTTTACAGATTTTTTTTATAATCCGTCTATTATTTTTGAATAGAAAATAGAAAATGGCTTTATCTATCAAAAGAAAAATACAAGTCCTGAGAATTTAGGAGAAAAACAATTCGTGAATGGATTGATTGACTTTGTAATTAATTCAACTAATTTTTTACTGAATTAATTGATTGATTAATAATGGGTATTCATATTTTATCCAGATCGGAGCTGATGGCAGACGTAGTCAAATATTTTTAGCCCTAAGTACAGCGTCAGAATTTCGTGATCATCTCTCAACGTTTAGCGATTTCTACGCATCGCTAGGTAAGTCTTTTATTTTTACTCTCTTGCTTAAGGAGTTTGGGATTTTTTTTTGCTGAATGGAGATTTTGAGAACAGGTCCACCAAATCCGGAGAACGTACCGGACGATGGAAAGCTCAAATCCGAGATGATGGTGAAGGACAATAGGCGATATTACCTGGACCTCAAGGAAAATTCCCGTGGTCGTTTCCTGCGGGTGAGTTACCCTGTATGTACCAAACAATCTGAGTATGAAAAAAATTGTTTTTCTGTAGTTAATGAGGAATTTTTCGAGACAAGGTGATTTGTATCAGTTTTATTCATAAAAGCTCGGGAGTTTGATGGTTTGTTTTTTTTTTAATTTTTTTTTGTTGGAATTTATTTCTTGGGGTGAATGATGAATTGGTGTTGCAGGTGTCTCAGACGATAACACGAGGGGGACCTAGAACACAGATAGCAATACCTGCCCAGGGAATGATCGAATTCAGAGATGCTCTCACGGATCTTCTCGAGGAATTTGGCATCGATGATGGCGGATTCAAGGGGGATTTACCTGAGGGACGCTATATGCGCGTTGACAACAAAAACTTTTACTTTGATATTGGGCAGAACAATCGTGGAATCTACATGAGAATTTCAGAGGTAAATTTCGTGCTTTTTTAATTTAATTCGTCTGAATCTTCTGATATATTTATTCAGTATTTTTTGTAAATTCGATAGAAATATATCTAATAACTGGAATTAAAGTCCTGGGAATTAGACGAAATATTTTCTGCAGAAATTCATTATAATGTGATAATGGAAATATATATATTTTTTAGTTAGATAAATGGAATTTTGAATTTGAATAATTGTAATGAGTAATTCGATATGAAAGCTAAAGCAAGAATTTTTAAGATAATTTTTTGAACTGCGACTTTAAATAGAGAATAGGAAAATATTCTTGTCAGAATTGTGTTCCAATACTATAACAGTAATTTTATACTTTGTTATTTTGAAAATGGAATTTTAAATTTAAGGCCCGGGTGGACTATCTATCGAACGTCGACTTTTGTTTAAATTTCATCTTTTTAACTTGAAATATATTAAAATTTGGGATTGATTTTGGCTTGCGGGAAGCACTTGAATAGACATGAAAAACTTATGAAAAAAAAGAAGAAAAATTATTGAAGGGCGCTAAAGATCGATATTATTTAAAAGGGATTTACCAAGTTTGCTAAAAAATAATAAAAAATACCGAGTTTTAACTCTGAGTTTTGGATACCACCTCTTTAGCAGATTATAATCTCCTTCTTAAGCGTTGACTATTGTATAATTCAATTTAATGGGTACAGAGAAGGGTGTGTAAAAGGTCCAAAGACCATGCCTCTGACAATAAAGATTATTATTATTAATAATAATAACAATAAAATACGTAGCTTACTATTGCATCTTGCTGTCATTCAATATTCTAGAGAGCAATGGTAAGCTGCGTAATTTTTATTATTTTTTTGTAAACTGGGTAGATTCCTTTTAAACAATATCGCTCTTTAGCGCCCTTCAATAATTTTTCCTCTTTATTTTCATTATTTTTTTATAACCCTTCGAATAACTCCCGCATCACAAATTTGATCACAATATATTTTAGGCTAAAAAGATAAAATTTAAACAAAAGATAACATTCGATAGATAGTCCATCCGGGCCTTAATCTGGAACTAAAATTCATCGCACAATTTTATAAAGTAATTATTTTAGAAAAGGGTAGTTTAGATGGAATAGTTGTTATTTTTTTATTGAAAAATGTATTTTCTCCAGGTAAAAACAAACTTCAGAACGGCCATAACAGTGCCCGAGAAATCATGGTCTCGGTTTCGTGATATCTTCGCAGATTACTGTGAAAAAATGAAGGAAGGAGGTGGTGGTGTCAGTATGAGTGGAATGGGCCCGGGTAATGTAATGTCGGATGTCAAAGGATCAGGCAGTGGTCAGCAGGCCTCATCGCCATCTTCCTCACAGCCTAATCCGAATCCAAATTTAGATTCAAATTTGATCTGAAGTGAAAAAGGCTTTAACTTAACCAACAAATGAGAGGGAAAAAAGTAAAAAAAAAAAGGAAACCATTTAAAATCATAAAATTATTTTAAACAAAATCCATTGGACAAGATATAGAATGAGAAAAAAACTCGTGTACACGTCGTTAATATTTTCTTCGCCGTCATCATCATTGCCATCGCCATTCAATTCATCAACATTAACCAATTATTCATGACTCTATTGTTAAGAGTTAATCCCTTGATCTTTCACTTGCACCAGATTTTTTTGATCACGCACTATTAGTTTATTCCCTCGTACTTTTCCATGCCAATGAATAAATTTAAAACAAATTTAAATCGAATTAGAAATGTTGATCGTATGAATTAAATCGTTACGTTGAAACAATTTGAATTTGATCGTTAAGATTTTATGAATAACGAAAAAGAAAAACTATTGAATGTTATGAATGTTATTCGACATGGAGTTACGATTATAATTATTGCCATTATTTCGTTAATCTTGAGTTGAAAACTATTAATTGACTAATGAGGGCAGCTCTGTGAGGATAATGAATAAAAGGGACACCTTCTACCTCGACTCAGCAGATGAATTCACAATAAATACCAAATAAACCCCAACAAATTGAAACAGATAAAATGGCAGATGAACAGAAACGAGAAGAAAATTCGTGGGGCGAGTTTATTTCTGGTTAAATCGAACGAGAGAATTTGAAAAAAAAAAAATGACTACGCTTTCATTCTGCAATGCTGTGCTAATATCAACAATTTCAATAATGAAGTAATATGTAATTGGCGTTCCCATCCTATTGAACAAACGTCAACAACAGATAAATAATACGAGTGGAACGACGATTAAGTGTTTAAATAGTATTTCGCGCTGGTGCGGAATCCTTAATCATTAATTATTGATTAAAGTAGTTGAGGTGAATTGTAAATGCATTACAGATGGAAAAAAAAAGTGCTATTTAATTCGGAGCATGGACACAGCCCGTGCGTTATTAAAGATAAAAGAACAGATGAAAAGAAAACTAGAGAAAAAAAAAACTAATTAAAAGTAATAATACGAAAGGAGACGGTAAAAGGCGAAATGCAAATTTATTTATATTTTAGCTGTTTGAATTATTTCTATATATCTATTCCAATTAGATATTTCAATTTTTTGCATTCTCTTATTATACGTTTAATTCCCCTCCTTTTCTTTCCAAAAAATAAAATCAATCAATTTCGGCTGGTCTGAATTTATCTAGTATAGGAGAATATTAAAAAAAAATTCGATAAATATTAAATCATTCACAATAGGGACACATTATCTCGGTTAAGAGGTGATGATTAAGGGAATGAGAGATTAACGCATGTGTTTTGGCTTTGAGCCTCGGAGTAATTCAATCAATTGCCTGCCAATTAGTTTTGTCATTATTTCAAATAAATTCTCCCACTATTACAGATTGAACAAAAAATAATTCTCTTGAACTGTTACTTCCATTCACACAAATGTCCAATCTTCGTGTGTGTAATCCCTTTACAAACAATTGAAATTATTTATCCCTTATAACCCGAAGAGAAAAAATAATAATAATCCAAGCCAAGAGATGGTAATGAAGATGTGCATAATAGATAAAGAAAAATACTAGATAAAGTGATGAATGAAATAAAAGTGCAGGCATAGAGATATTTAAAAAAATGTTCACTGGCGCAGATGGTATGACACATTGTGATCTATATAAAATTAAAAAAAGCATCAACAAGTAGTAAATATTTAAGGTATATATATATTATATATATATGTTACGAATAAAACTTTAATGAAAGAAAAATGAGGAAATAATTGAGATATATTGAGACACGATTAAATCGATAAAACACCATACACAACGTACAGTTACACATTTGCGGTCTAGGGATCTCGCTGATTGTATACTAATTGAAAATGAGAAATAATCACACTGCACTGCACTGAGGTAACAAATTATTTTTTATGAGAATCCATTTAGTTGAGACAAGTGTGTATTGTATCCACGGTTACGGAATTTCTAGGCCATTCTCACTGGATTGTGATAATGATCACCAAATTGCTTGAGAGCATGATAATGTCAGACATGTCTGTGAATAAATTAAACTAATTGTTATTAATTTTCTTAAAATACTTGAAATTTTCTTAGCAAAAGAAATTAATGGAGTTTCTTAATATTCATAATTATTAATCGATTTTATTCAAGATTATAGACAACTTAACAATCCTCTAGAGCAATATAATTATGATCATCAACGCCTAGTCGGGATCCCCTGGAAAAGTAACATTTTTATTAAAATGCATACTTCTCTCAGAATAATGAATATTTGGGAGAATAATTTTTCTTGTCAGTGTGGAGTGATGGAATAGGAATTATAAAAAAATCAGAACAAAGAAAAGATATTGGAGATATTGGAGAACGATTGTACCGCAGAAGGAAAATAACGAGATGAACTTTAAAAATGTGAAAACAAGTGGACAACTACAAACGTACCTTTATCGCGGATATGACAAAGAGTAATAAAATACGTCTCAACTTGTGGAAAAAACTAATGAAAAATTGAGATGATGGAAAAAACGATACACGACGCTCCTGCCACGCAGCGAGTTCTTAGACAGCTTTAAGATTAATATTGATAAATTATAAGTAATAATTATTGAATAATAACGATGAACTTTCTATATGTTGAATCGTGTCTAGTGAGAGAAATGAATTAAATGATTAAAAGAAGATTTAATGTTAAAGTAATTATTCAATGGTAAAATGCTGAAGATTAATGATTGCTACGTTTTAATGATTAACAAGTGAATTTTATTTGTCACTTGGAACGATTAACGAATTTATTTTCCAAACTTCTCCCATTTGTTCCGTTCTCTTTCAGTTCTCTCATCTATTTTCGTAATTATGAGTTCAAAAAGTCGATAAAGATATCTAAAAAAAAACCCATAACAATAATGAAAAAAAAAAAAATGTCTGGATGTTTCGTTGGTTGTTTTACATAAATAATGTTACACGGTTGATGAATCGCCACCGTTTAGCCGATTAAAATGTTAAAGCGATGAAAAGTAAAAAAAATTATAAAAAACAATGAATAACTAACAAAAAAAAATGATTAAATCGTAGCCGAATAATTGCGATGGCTGTTTTTAACGCGTGGGGTTTCAATTACTTAACAATTTCATCGTTTGTCGTAACAATCAATCAATTTGTGCTACTGTCGCCACCGATATTCAATGAAATGCATAAAATCTATGAAAACAATATTAAATAATCCGTGGGAAGGAGATAAATCTATTTTCTCTATTATTGCTTCCCCACGCGCGTTAATTATAGAAAAGTAATGAATTGTTAAGTCGACTATTGTACGATTCAATGACTCGTTTGCCTGATAAACAATTCGCTGCCGAACCTAACGAATTTCTGCGATCTATTATAATCTCAAAGGAATATTATACCAATTAATTAATCTGAGTTATTATAATGATTATACACTGTGGTTTAATAGTATAATTTTTGAGCTTTCATTAAATTCTTGATTTCTCTATTGATTCATCTAGTCCCGAGCGTTTCACTTAGTTTTCTTTTCTTTCATTTCATCTAGCTAAGCTTTCGATTATTGCATTTTTTAATCTATTCATTAATTCTGTTCTGCTTCTGATGTACCGTGTCACAGTCAATAATAAGAAAAATTATATTAAGAAACACGAGAGACCACGAACGATATTAAAAATGAAAAACTATTAAATGTAGAATAAATTTTGGGAGAAAAGTTTGTAGATAAACTCGTGTGAGTGGATTTAATGAAATTTAATGAATTACACGCATTATATTTTACAATTTTATTCCCACGTTAAAATAATCAACGGAAAAATTCATGTATTTGCGCGACAGAAACAGTTCATCATTAGAAATAGCATTGGATATTTTGTTTTTTTCCCTGTTTGATGTAAGAAATTATAAAAAAAAAAGCTAACAGAGAATTTTTCTTTTATAATAATTTATCGTGTGTATATTTCTACCCTCCTACAAATATTCTCGTTGAAGCACTTCAATTCATTTGTTTGGGTTGTATCTATTGATCGGGGGACACGTAGAATTCGTTGGAATTTTATAAATAATTGGATAAAAAAATGATGGGAGATACCATTGAATGTGCAAGGATTCTGAGAGTAGAAAAGAATAGCACATCACTGCCATGTTCTTAAATTTCAAAAGAAAAATTAACTGAATATATAAAAACAATCGTCCCCCTCCCCAGTATCAATTATAATTGAATTTTTCAATTAATTTCGTACAACAAACTCGCTGCATTGAAGAATAAATAGGGAATAAATTTAGGTGCAAGAGCGTCGTGAGGACAATGCAAAGACGTATGAAATATATATATATATATACATATATATATATGTAAAAACAAAAAGAATTAATGAAGAGATAATTCGTAGCACGGTAGCATGAGTGTTCAAACGAAGAAGTAATTAACGATTAATTATCGAAGAATAAAAAAATCACGTTTCGTTTCCTCTGACAGCACACGATCGAGTTAAAAAAAAAAATGACAAAATTATGGCGATGGTAGCTATAGGCCTGAACTGTTTGTTAAATAAACAAAGAGAGAGGAAATCTTTAATTGGAGATAAATGTAAATGTACGCATGTGATTAATTCCCAATTGCACACGTACACTCAGAGCAGCAATGAGGAAAATTAACGATTAATTGATTACTATAAATAAAAAGAATTTAATGAGAAATATGTACTTTACTGGAAAATTGGGTGGAAAATAAAAGGCAGATCAATGGTTTTAGATAAATCGACTATTCGCCAATTGTTTTTTTTTTTTCTTCAATTTACATCTGTACGATTTATTAAATAAAATCTATGACGTAATTCGACAATTCCTCGAACCAATTTGGATAGTGTAGCATTAAAATTAATACTTGATCTGTATTTTTTAAGTACATGTTACTGAGTGAATCCAGAGTATATCTCTTTGAACTTTCAGTGTGATATTTACTGTCGATCCTCAGTAATGCCACGTAAGATTGCAAGTGCGTTGGGTACAGGTCGAGATTCATATTTTTAATATTGGACAGTACGTGTTTCAACACAAATTGAATGTAATCAATCATCAATAAAGGCAGATCACAGTGTACGAATAATTCTTTGAGAATGCTGGAGGCCAGTTGAAATAATTTCGATGACGAGGAAATTAAATTGATCATTTTCATAAAATTCTCTGAAGTGGACAATTCCTCTCTGGCTCTCAATCCCTCGAAATTCTCGAGGAAGTTATCGACGAGGGGTTTTTCAATTGATTCTTTGGCATTTATTATGTGGAGTTTATCAACGAGGCAGCATTCTAGTGCCAATTTGTCTCGATTGTTCAACGAGTCGTTCACAAAGTCCTCGGTCTCGTCGCAGACTAGCTGTAATGGATCTGCCCGCTCGAGGAAGCTTTTGAAGTGAGGAATGTACGTTGGTTTTTGCTTTGACAAATTCAACAGCAATTTACCTAATTTTATTAGACTCTTGGGGGAATGATTTTTTCTATGAAGGATTTCTCTGTTCATGTACTTATTGATGAGAGTGAGAATGAATTCCGCCATATTTTCACCCTGGGAAAATGTCGGATGAGCATGGAGTCCTAGTGGAGGTTGAATCCAGTCTCTCATTACCTCCTGCAATAAAAATTCTTCAGTAATTTCAAGGTAAAACACATTAATAATAATCAATACCTTTTTCAGAGAGCAGCTGACATTGCTCTACAAAAAAGGTAACAACAAAAGTTTCTTCTTCTTTCTTCGTTTAGGAAATATTTTTACTGAATATAGGGCAATATAGAATTTAAATGAAAGCTCTGAGTCCCTGGGATTGTTGATGGATTTAGCTCACAATTATCTGAATTCTTGCTGAATATCTCTGATAGGCATCTGGAGACACTTTGTAGGACAATAATTTGCTCAAGGAACTTGCAAGAGCCGAGATTGATGTATCGTCAAGCGCTGGAAAACTCTCCACGACTTTTTCAATATTTTTCATCTTTTTTAAATCCCTCGATCCACTGTCACTCTCGAATATTTTTAAGAGAATCTGTCGATCCATTTCGATTATTTCAATACTTCTTTTTTCCCTCTCGATATTTAAATTTGTTTACGAATTAGGTTATGAAATCATCAGGGAATTGAATTTCCGGTAGCAGCCGAATGAAAATTCGTCACTTCCGCTCTAGAATTTAGTCTCGTCGTTCAGGAAAAATATCAAACAGCTGATTCCAACCCTTCAAACCTCAATCTGCTGGAGAAAATCAATCACAACAATCATCACACGAGGATGATTTTACTCTCTTAAAATTCCATTGCTCAGCAAAAATCAATTGTGCAGCATTAGAAAGTCAAAATGGGTAATCACCTGGTGGGAATAGCTCCCAGTCAGATATTTCCTGTCGAGCACTATTTGACAGATCACAGCGATCTCCAGTTTGACATAAAGTGAGTGATTAAAAAAAAATCCAAGTGCTCTTTTCTGCAGGCCAAAGCAGTTTTAATGGCTTTTTTTATTTTTATGCAGTCTGGGGAGTACAAGATTCTTCAAAGTGGCTCGTGCTAGGAGCCAAGAGGGTCTGATTGTCGTCAAAGTTTTTGTCATTCATGATCCAACCCTGCCATTGTCAACCTACAAGGATAAACTCGAGGAAATCAGATCGAAATTAGCGTCTGCTGTCAACTGTCTACCATTTCAGAGAACCATAGTTGGTACCTATTTAGCTAAGATTTTAGGAGAGTGCGGGGTAATACGGTCATTATGTTTTTATCCAAATGGTGTAGCACCAATTATCTGACTGGCGAATGTCTTTCTTTGATCACAGAATAATTATAAAATAATAAGCACCTTGCGTTCATGTCACATTGATGCTTTCGACAGAAAATAATTTTTCTCATGACTTGATGAAATTATTACTCTAGTATGAAAAATATCGTTGAAGCTCAGGCAATTGAAATTTGAATAGTTATTCAAACAGATGAATATTATTAAAAGTTGAAAATTTAGAATGGAACTGCTTTTAATGGGACTTCATTACCTCAGGCTCTCCTAGTTGTATTGAGATTGTGTAAATTAATCCGTGGAATTTATTGAAGCTTACAGACAAGGCTGGATTTATTATGAGGGAATACGTCAAGTACTCGCTGTATGATAGAATCAGTACGAGACCCTTTTTGTCGATTATTGAGAAAAAGTGGATTACGTTCCAAGTTCTTTATGCACTTCATCAAGCACACAAGGTATGTCGGATTATTTCGTACTTTTGGATGGACATTTATCATTTTTGCTTTCGAATGCCCCATGTCGATCCATTGTGATCCAAAAAATTAGAATAATTAGAGTATGCCATTTTTGGAGGGTGTGCGTGGTACCACTTTTTCAAATTTCATTTCCGATTGGACGGTAATGTGTTCGTAAAGTTAGCTAATGTTTTTTCAATCTCAGTATTATTGAGCCTTAGTCATTGATTTTAATTGAAATACAATGCATTCATTAGTTTTGTGATTTTTCAATTTTTTTTTAAGGTGGTTGTCGCGCGACAGTCTCTGTAAAAAGTTTATCCGCTGTAAAAAGGGCCAGTTTAGAACACAATCTTTTAGCGGTATATAGTCTCACTTGATTGATTGCATTGTGCATGGATAGCTAAAGCATACCTATATATTTTCCATATTAACTATTTTCAATTATATAAATTTATGAATTTCCGATAATTATATTCCGTAAACCAAACGGTCAATCGATTTGATTTTTTTTTCTGTATTTCCTCCCACGATGTATATTCCACGTTTTTTTTTATTTCTGAAACTGTCGAGCCGTTGATTTTTAAAAAATTCTAATCGGCAAAACTCCATTTAAACACGTGTTAAATCACTCGAATTTCAAAAATTTATATCTCAAGTTCAAAACGGTCAATTGCAAACGGAAAAGGCTCATTTTGTTGCTAATTTTTTAAACTATTCAGCATAAAATTGTTAACGAAAACTGTCGAAAAAAAATTCTACGCGACAACAACCTTAAATGAGTTTTTCTCAGTAGCTGAAGAAAGAAGTTGATAGGTTGATTTTTAAAAATCAGAAAGCGCGTACAAATCTTTTTCTTCGGAAAACATAAAAATTGAAGTATCTCGAAATATTTATAGGGATATATATTCTTTATATGTATTCTAACTGATCTATGTGTAAAGCACATTGAGACGAGCATGAAAAATAATTTAGTTTATTCTTCCCCTTTCCTAAAATCTGACTTCGTCTTTTTATATTTTATACAATTTATCATAATTTCCAGGCAAAATTAGAAAATCGAAAAGTCGAACAATTGCAATGCTTGCAATGAAAAAATGTGAAATAGTTGTAGGATGGTTAAAAAAATTTACTGTAAAAACAATAATTAGTTTTTTGTTTTATTCAACAGTTTGGTGTCTGCCACGGCGATATAAAACTCGAGAATATAATGATAACCAGTTGGAACTGGGTTTTGTTGACTGATTTCGCAAGTTTCAAACCAACGTATTTACCTGAGGACAACCCAGCGGATTTCTCTTACTTCTTTGATACCTCTAGGAGGAGGTAAAGTATTAAAATCCAGATGCTTCCAAAATTCTGCAGAATTCCCTGACTATCAATCGTTCCTCTCCGAAAACTAACAAATTAAATAGAACACAAAGCTGTCATTCCGTAATGAATTATCCCGAAGTTTTCTAATTTCTGAAGGAAAAGCATGGCTTCAATAATTAACTGTGAAATTATTATTTCATCGATATTAATGAATTTTAGAACATGCTACATCGCCCCAGAGCGTTTCCTGAAGACTCTGTCCTCTGAACTGAGCAGTACACTCCTCCTCCCAGAGCAAGAGCTAAAAACCGGTGATCTCCATCCAACAATGGACATATTTTCAGCAGGATGTGCCCTAACAGAACTTTACAACGAGGGACACGCACCCTTCGACTTCTCCCAGCTGCTGGCTTACAGAAACAGCGAATACTCAGCTAGTAAACACCTAGACAAGATCGAGGATCCAGGAATCCGTGAATTACTAGCATCAATGCTAGAGAAAAATCCGAGTAATCGTAAAAGTGCAGAGATATATCTATCTCAAGCCCGAGGTAAAATCTTCCCCGAGTACTTCTACTCCTTTCTCCAATCGTACATGCTGATGTTTTCAGCAGCACCAATTCTCTCACCAGACGAGAAAATAAATCGTCTGAAAAAAGACATAGGTAATATTATAAATATAATCCTGAAGAGTGAAGAGGAGACAGAAGCAAAAAGAAAGAGCAGCGAGGAATCATCGACATGTGATAGCCCAAAGAAATCAGAGACTGAATTGAGTCGAGAGGATTCAGTCTGTCAAAGCGAGGATAATACGATGACAGAAGGAGACAGTGACCAGAGCTTCGATAGAGCGGAAACAAATCCAGAAATGAAGCTCTCGGAAAAGTCAAATGACTCCCTGGATGACGAGACCCCAAAGAAATCCAAAATAATTTCACCAGACAAACTCGAGGGACTGATCCTCATAACTCAACTCGTGACCTCTTGCATCCGAGGTCTCCACCACTCCCAATCGAAGCTCCAGAGCCTGGAAATTCTGTTGGAGCTCGCCGAGAATACCTCTGACGAGACAATTCTCGATCGAATTCTTCCGTACATCTTCCACCTAGTGCACGATCCAGCGCCTCGCGTTCGAGTCTCAGCAATTCACACACTGACAAAATGCCTGTACTTGGTGAAAACAATTCCCCCTACTGACGTCAATATATTCCCAGAGTACATCCTTCCAGGTCTGTCCCACATTACTCAGGACGATGCTGTCATAGTGCGTGCAGCTTATGCTGAAAATATCGCCCACTTAGCGCACATTGCACTCCGTTACCTCGAGAATGCACACCTGACAAATCCAGGGAACAAGGAAGGGCCCAAGCCAAATTACGATAGCGAACTTCAAACACTCCATGAGATGGTCCAGCAGTCAGTGTCAATGCTGCTGACAGACACCTCAAATCTCGTCAAGCATACCCTCATGGAGAATGGAATCAACAAGCTGTGTGTCTTCTTCGGTAAGCAGAAAGCCAATGACGTGCTCCTGAGTCACGTCATAACGTTCCTAAATGATAAAAAGGACGAACAATTACGTGGCTCTTTCTTCGAGTGCATCGTTGGAGTTGCTGTTTACGTTGGTTGGCACAGTAGTCCCATTCTGATGCCTCTACTCCAGCAGGGACTCACTGACCCTGAAGAGTTCGTTACGAAAAAAGCAATAAATGCCATGGCAACTCTCACAGAACTCGGTCTTCTCCACAAACCTGCGCTTTATCAACTTCTTGCTGAAGCTGTTGTCTTTCTGGTGCATCCCAATCTCTGGATCAGACACGCAACTGTTGGATTCATCGCTGCAGCTGCTAGAACTCTCAATTTAGTTGATGTCCAGTGTAAAGTTCAGGTTCTGATACAGCCGTATCTCAAGTACTCGTTAATTCAGATTGAGAAGGAAGTTCTCTTGCTTGAGGCTTTGGTCCAACCAATTCCTCGTGTTGTTTTCGATTCTGTGATAAAGTACAATGACATCAATGAGTTGATACGAGCCTTCGAGGAGAGGAAATCAGCTAGATCCAAGACTATCAGTGGTACAGTCCCTCAATACAGTGACTCCAGTACATCATTGAGGAATTTGTTTCGCAGATTGAATTCCGAATCGATGACTGAAATCGTTGAGGATCAGTTGTTGGCGATGAAGCAGCACTTGATTAAGATAAACAAGTATCGATTGGCTGGGGATACAAAGCAGAGTGCTATTAAATCAGCTAATGATGGTAAATTAGAATTGACAATGATGAAGGAGACGATACGCCACCACATCGTGATGCTTTATCCGGATGCTAAAGGGGAAATTGGAATGACTGGGTACAAGAAATTCGATAAAAGAACATCCGAGAGTACTCATTATTCTACAATGAATCAGGAATGGAGAACAATGTTTGCAGCTAATGAGACCAACCAAACGAGTTTGAAAATAAATGATATGAGCAACAGTGGCTCGAGCCCCAGTTCAATTCACGGTGGAGACATTCATCTGTCACCTCAGCAGTCTAGTTTAGCTGACATCAACAGCATAAACGATCACTCACTCCCCGAGAGATCATACATCCAGTACAGGTGTGCCCCGTGCAGATTGGAGTTACGTAAATTGACATACAGAAAACAGGAGCAGCATGGAGCTGCACTCAGAGCTCAGCATTGGGCTGACAATATGACGTGGCATGCTGGAACGAGACTTCTACCCAGTGGATGGAGGCCTCGAGGTGTCTCCGTTGCTTATCTCCATGAGCACAGAGCAGCTGTCAATCGTTTGGTGTCAATTCCTGATTCGGGATTGTTCGCCAGTTGTGCTGCTGATGGGTGTGTGAGGATTTGGGACGCCAGCAAGATGGAAGGGAGAAATATTGCTAATAGATCGAGGCAGACCTATGTCAATCGTGGAGGCCCACTGGTGGGATTGGCGGTTTGTGAGCAAGGACAGTCAATTGCTAGCTCAGCTAGCATGACTGGCTCGGTTTTTGTTCTCAGAATGGAGCCAAGTTCCAGCAAAATGACTCTCGTTAACTCCAGGCAGTTGGATCTCCAAGAAGAGGGATGTGCTGTTGATCTACAGTACCTGGACTCTGGATCACAATCTGTATTGATTTATGCCACTCTCTATGGATCACTCATTGGCTGGGACCTGAGGTGTCCTGGAATCGCCTGGAAGCTCGAGAATGACTTGAAACATGGAGTTATTACGTCCTTTTGTGTTAATAATTATCAGCAGTGGCTGGCACTTGGGACTAGCTCTGGTGTTCATATCTGTTGGGATTTGAGATTTCAGTTGCCTATCAGTAGCATCAAACATCCTATTGGGGCAAGAGTTAGGAAAGTTATCACTCATCCGACTGAACAGTCCTGGATTATTTCTGCTGTACAGGGGAATAATGAGATTTCCATGTGGAATCTCGAGACTGGCTTCAGGCAAACTGTCCTCTGGGCCTCTGGGGCACCACCTCTCAGTCATTCACAGGAGGGACACAGTGTCTGCTCCATGCATGCTGGTACTGTTGACAGGTCTGGATTCCTCTTGGCTGGGGGAACTGATATGAAACTCAGATACTGGGATCTCAATACTCCCAATGAGTCTCATGTCGCCTTGCCAGCTGCTAGTGATGTCATTGCATCGAATTCTTTGGTTTATGAGCAGAGGCTGATCGATGGAACAAATGTTGTCCAGGAAGTTCTGGCTGGAGGTGGACCCATTATTGGTCCAGGTGCTGGAAGGGTCCGGGTTACTGATGAAGCTGCTGTTCCATCCCTCGAAGCACCCATTTCTGGGCATCATGACACCATCTCGGCTGTTGCTATGTCCAATACCTGTATTTTAACTGGCAGCACTGATGGACTCATTCAAGTGTGGAAGTGATTTTTTATTTTAGATTTTTAAGGGAACACGTGGGAAAGAGTTGGCGGGGAAAATTCAGTGATTGTTCTCAGAGAATTCACAGAATTTCCTGTTAAAATTTTCAGGAAACATTTCATTTTTTCTCAAATTATTGAACAAAGTTGGATAAATCTGAGAATGGAAGGACAAATTGTTTTTAAATAAATTTATAAACGGACTTCGATATAATTAACTAGTCAAAGCACTAGGTTTTCCTGTTGGACTCTCCCATACAATCAGTGTCTGTACTTTTATAAATTAGTGTCTAAGGGCAGTATATACTTTAAGAAAATAAATTATTTTTATACGTATTAAAAAAGGCGAATCGTAAAAACTTTTGAGTGCACAATGTGCAATGAGGTATGTGTAGTCTTATGTAACGATTGAATTAAACAAATGATTAATTGAAGAATTGCGCTTCATGATAAAATTATGATTGTGTTTATTTATACATATATCTGATATATAAAATACGTACAGGAGCTGTACACAACGAACGTTTGGATTCATTAAATTATCCTTCCATAACTAGTCGAGCTAGCTACTTTACTTATTATTATTTCTATTATTCTTATTTCCTCTTTGCTACATTGGATGACATATTCAATGAGCTTGTATATGAAAATGAAATACATAAGTATTTATGTGGATAACAAAAATTACTGTGGATTTTATTTAAACGGAATTGCTATTATCATTAATAACTTTTCATCAAATCAAATTGGATAATCCGAATAGTACTATAAAGTGCTCGCTGAGATCTATTAAATAATATACAATGTTATTTTAATAAATTACATCTATAGTGAAAAGTGGAAAAAAAAATAACGAAATCTAGACAATTAATGTCATTTCAATAATTAAAAAATGTTCTTAAAGTGGTATATGCAAATAGCTATTTATTTAAATTTTTTGCAGCTTGTTTAATAATATTTCAAGTGAGTACATAACACAGTACCTCAATAATGCGAGAGAGAAATTAATGTTGTAAAATGGAAGAAAAAAGACGCATTCCCCCGCGTATAATTTACTTATGGATAAAGAATAATTATTACAAGTGTCTTGTAGACTCCACGTAAATAATTAATAAGGACAAGGTGCTAATGCTGGATACGGTATTTGTCCTGGGAATGCGTAGCCATTTGGATTTATCGTGTTGCAGATCTCTTTCCATCGTTCTTTCCCATTTTTTCCATGACGACTGCGTCTCGTCTCAGCTCTCCGTTGTGGATATGGGATTAATATTTCCTCCAGCCATGGAGCACTCAAAACACACGTGATGACGAACAAGAGCAGAACAATAATTGTCTTCATTTTTTAAAACAAAATTTTACAACTTTTGTAATTGTTTATGGAATTATTTTGAGGTGAAACTTGTTGGGAATTTTAGATGCGAATGACGAAGTGCAGAAGTCTCTCAGTCTTTTATATCACAGCCCTAGTCAACTCCAGGGACAAAAGACGAGGAAAAATATCCCGGGATAAAAGTTTATAGCCGAGCAAAACAATTCTTTCAGTCGTTCTTTAATTCTGCCATATGAATTCTTAAATATATCTCTGTCATCGTGAATTGCTGATGAGATTATTTTATCCTGACTCTTCACTCTTCATCTTAATAAACGCGACGAGAATGTGTTTATATTTCACTCTTGTTCCCTTGCTCTTTGTTATCGAACTAAAGACGTCATCATTTCTGCAAAAATCCCCGATCTGAAAATAATGACTTCAGTGATTCTAAATTGATGCTATCGTTTTTTTATCTCTAGAAACCGGAATGAAACAATTGGAGAATCGCCCTTCCCCTCCCTACGTAATAGTTATTGTTACTAATAAATTAATTCAGTCATTTACAATCATCTTAAAATTTCCATAAAATCTTATTGAAATATTTTCTTCACACATAATCGAATGAATTTGGAAGATAATGCAGAATGGAAAACGAAATAGGTGAAAAAGTCAGGAAGCCTACTTTCAGAAAAATTCATGGAAAACACTAAATTTTGGACAATCATCAGAAAATTATATGAAGGTACATAGCTATGGTAATTATCTTCTACTTTCAACAGTACAGTATCAAAACTATTATTTTAAACTCACGAAGAATTCAAGAGACGTAAAAAATCTGGCGACAGGTCGAGATTTCAAATATTCTCACAGTACGAATGTCAGCGAATCTTTTTTATATATCGATACAACAATTTTTCTATTATTCTCATCTTATAATCGACTGGAAAAGATCGGACAACATTTTCTAAGCCATCATTGGTATTTCATGTTTTTCCTTCAGTTGTCGTGAAAACACGGATTTTTGAAAAACTTAAAAAATTATAAAAATCGATAAATTAATTGAATTTTAATTAATATCGACTAGAGCTAAAAGATATTTACATATGAGAAGAAAAAGAGGATTTAATTTCACGGATACATTACGAAAAATGTTAGTTATCTGTCTCGAAAATTAGAACAAGCATGAGTAGCTGCTAAAAAATCATTCAATTGAAATAGGCGATAATTAAAATTAGGTCAGGGTAAAAAAACATCGAGATCACAGAGGCCAAGGGCTCTTATCACATATACATCATTTAATCTTTCCTCACCAAATCCTCTTCTGAATGATATAAAACACACAAGCGAGAAAAAAAGCGAATGCCAGAGCAAGGAGAGCCTTGTCTGTAACTTCTCGTCTTCCATATTTTCCCAGGAGCTTTCCCGATTGAACAATCGCCTGTTGTTGGTGCTCTAGCTCTTCTTTGGTGCCAGTGACTTTATCTGAAGACGTCACTGTAAGACCAAAAGAAAATGTTAACACAAAACGTCTAGTTATTATACATTAGATGCTAGGGTAATATGGACACCCATTAAAAATTGTAGCAATCCAAATTTTTTTTCTTTTTTCTATGACTTAAGTATTTAGCCATTAACCCATTGATAGAGCATCAAGTGGAATTTCTCCAAAAATAAAAATAAAAAGAATCGTTAATAACGCAAAAAAATGGTTGATAAAAATGTAAATGATTGAATAGATTTGATAAAATAAATTGTAATTGGCTGTACTCCAACGATATGTTTAATACTAAATTTATAAGATAAGATGGTTGAACGAAAAAGAAATGATTCCCTTTGAAAGTATCAATATGGAACTGAATCTGATAATAATTAAATGATTTTCAAGAAAGGGCTTATCATTTTAGCTAGTCACTTTGTGATCCGAGAAAAACATTGGACAGTCTTAATTGTAGCTGTGAGAATTTAAATAAAAACATGTCTATATTACCCCACACTATCCTATCACTAAATACTAACAGAGAGTGTCAAGGGTATCAGCACTTCGTTGATTGGTTTCAGCTAGTGTTCTTGAAATACTGAGAAGCCTATCAGTAGCTTTGTTTGCTGTATCAGCAAAACCCTGGCGATCTCTCCTCTTCCTCAGTATCATCTCCTGCTCCTCTGATGTTGTCAGCAATTCCTCTCTAGCCATTTTATCAATCACACACGCACCTACAATATTGGCTTTCTTGAAAGCTGCCAGAGCCATTGATAATTGACTCTTTCTGTCCTCAACTTCCAGCAATAATTCGGCTTTTCGTTTAGCGTTTATCTCGGTCTCTGCTAAATTCGATAGGCTCTCGATGCTATTTCTCAATTTTGATATTCTTGATCGGCCCTCGGCATTCAATTCGTTTAGAAGCTCCAGAGGCCCTGTGCATTGCTGGATGTCCTGGAAAAATTCGTGAGAAAATTGTTCGGTCAGGGACTAGTTCCGAGAAGATATTCTATTGTTGATTTTTCAAATCATCAAATTTAGTGATATCTTCTTTTTATTTTGGGGATTAAAATTCGATTGAGGTTAGATCGTTGGAATTTTATGATAACTGTTTTGATTTTTACTTGAATCGATGCTGCAACTTCTAGATGATTTTTCACTATTTCTCGACGAATTAGGCTTATGGCTGGATCTGTTCTGTCCATTTTTTTACTTTTTCTTACTATTTTTTCCAAGGACTTGTTGGACGCTCTAACTGCTTTGCGTGAACAAATTAGTTAACTGTTGACAAAAAAAATTCACGAGTA